GTGAAAGAAGATGGTACATTCCTGAGAACTGATTCTATCCGGCTAACAGTGCAGAGGTCTCAACAAGGGTGAGTACAGGACCAGGCTGCAGGGCCACATGAACCAGTGTGACACATCAGGACTGTCCTACTAGGTCAGGGACGAGCCAGAGCCCCAGTGAACTCCGTTACAGAGAGCACTCTGGATGCTCTGTGGCACTGAACTAACGGGGTGAGGAGTCTGCGTGTAAGGCTGGGACAAAATCCAGCAGAAAGGACAACGGCCACAGTGATGAGGACCAGGGGAAAGGGCTGCTACATGACACAGAGCCCATAGCACACAACAGATGCTCCCTTCTATCAGTATGCTGGAAAGCAGGAGTCTGCAGACCTGGGTTCTAGTCCTGTCTACAAGCCACTTTCCCCACTCTGGGCCACAACGGCACAATAAAGAGGATGGGTCAGATCCTCTCTCAGGTCCCCTCTGGATTTGGAGTCCTTTGCACCGGACATCCCCTCTCACCCTGCTCTGGCAGCATCTCTGTCTCCCCACCCTCTATCGCCGCCCCTCAGCAGATGGTAGGATCCACGGGACCTGCAGACCTCAGTCCTGGCCAAGGGCCAGGCAGTCTAGACAAGCAATGGCAAGGTTGGTCACAGAATGTGACGTTAGGGTGGTCCCCAGAACAGGTAAGGCATGCAGAGCAACTGTTCAGGCCCCAGGGGAGGCCAGGGAGGGGGGAAAAAGGATGGACCCTCTCACACCCAGCCCCTGGTACCTTTACAAACTTCTGATACAGCAAGTTGGGCTTGGGACGATTACGACGGGTAGTCTCCTTAGAAAGATGCCTTATCTGGACTCCATCCTGGGGGAAGGTGTCAGTCAATGGGTGGCACAGGCGTGTCCCAGGCCCCCACGGTCCAATGGCCATCTGTCAGCACTCCTACCTGCCCAGTCTCCACAACCAAGCCGGCTGCAGTCTTGTTGAAGAGCTCATTCCACCAGTGGTCCGTGAACTCCTTGGCAGGGTCATGTCCCACCTGCCAGAAAGAAGTGTGAACCCTGAGGACCTGTCCCTGCCCTGTCCCCAGAGTCCCCCTCTCCCATCCACACTGCCCTCCCTCAGCCTGCCCAGTCTTACCCCGTGAGTGTCCTGCTTCAGCGTCACCCTGAGGGCCTGGGTGATGCCATTCTCCTTCCGGCCCAGACCTTTGCCTGCAGGACGGGGAGCGACCCGTTTATTCTGCTGCCTGCCCTGAGCCCCCACTGGGAGGGCCACTCTGCCCTCCCACACGGAGCGCTGGGTACACTCCGTCCCGGGCGGATGCCCTCCAGTCCCACTGTTCCTGGCATTTCTGCACACAGTGTCCCTGCCTTTGTCTGAGCTCAAGCTGTCTTTTCCTTCATGCTTCCTCCAGGACAGAGGTTGTGCCCCTTCCCCCCTCTCCCAGTCCTCCCAACCACTTCTTTCTCACTGACCCACTGTAAAATTTCTTCCACTCTTCCATTTTCTGGAAAAGCTGGGAATTTTCACCTGTAAATTTCCCTTTAAACTAGCTTTTCCAGGGGCGCCTGGGTGGCGCAGTCGGTTAAGCGTCCGACTTCAGCCAGGTCACGATCTCGCGGTCTGTGAGTTCGAGCCCCGCGTCGGGCTCTGGGCTGATGGCTCAGAGCCTGGAGCCTGTTTCCGATTCTGTGTCTCCCTCTCTCTCTGCCCCTCCCCCGTTCATGCTCTGTCTCTCTCTGTCCCAAAAATAAATAAACGTTGAAAAAAAAAATTAAAAAAAATAAAATAAAATAAAATAAACTAGCTTTTCCTCCTCCAGCTGCACGGATTACAAATGGGTAGCCCAGGACGCTGCCGCTCCCCTGGGCAGAAAGTTGGAAGGATGTGGAAGGGGCGCCACGGGGATGACCTTGGGTCCATCCATGCTTCAGCAGCTGCTCCTCGGCAAACTTCATCCCACGACTCTTAATCTCTGGCGTGACACTCATGGTGACGGGAGGGTCACTAAGCTCAGGCCTTCAGCAGAGTAGACGACATCATTCTCATCCCTTCAAGAGAAAAGGAGAAAGTGCCCAAATCACCCATCGAATCCATCCGGGCTGCTCTCAGAAAAATTCTTTTCCGAACCTGGGGCAGAGACAGAGGAAGGAGGCCCAGTCTTTGGGGAGCTCCCTGTCTGACCACAGAGAGGTCAGCAAGTCGGAAAGTCAAATCCTAGTGTCAATAATAATACCGAAATGTACCGAGAGCTCACCACATGATGATTTCACTCAATCTTCCCAGCCCGGGAAGAGTACTCTGCATTCAGAAAGGTATTACTCTCCCTACTTTAGAAATGAGGAAATTAAGGCCTAAGGAGGTTAGGCAACTTGCTCCAGGTTACACAGCTGATGTGTAGATGGCAACCAGACATCTTGTCTGCAGACTCCCTGCTCTTCACCACTGCCTGACAACATCTCCCACCGTTTATTACCATGTAAAAACAAAGCTGAGAGTCTTTTAACCTGAGTTATAAGAATACTCAACAAAGGGACGCCTGGATGGCTCAGTTGGTTGAGCGTCCAGCTTCAGCTTGGGTCATGATCTCGCAGTTCATGGGCTCGAGGCCCGCTCTGTGCCGACAGCACGGAACCTGGAGCCTGCTTCAGATTCTAGATCTCCCACTCTCTCTGCCCCTCCCCCGCTCGCTCTCTGTCTCTCAAAAAATAAAATAAACATTAAAAAAAAACAACAAAAAAACAATCATGACCAGTCTGGTTAGGTATGAAAACAAACTCAGAATGACTTCCATTTCTGTTCACGTTCTTACCGTGAAGGACGATTAAAGGACGATTACCTGAAAACCTGATACTCCGAGAATCCCAACAGAAAAGCGCTGAATGAAGAAATGGCTCTGTCTTGCTTCTTGAATTTTTAAGAATGGTAAAAAGACACTGGGGCCTTTAAGGCTACCTCAAAACTCTGCCTCCTCCCAGAAGTTACCGCTGATGCATCAGCCCCCAAATTTCAATAATAAAAACATCTAACACGAACACATTTACTCGATGCCAACATGCTAATTGCTTTACACAGATTATCTTATTTCCTCCTCCCAACAATCCTACTAGCAAGTGTTGCCATCATTTGCAAACGAAGAAATGGCACTGAGGAGTTTAGCTACCCGCCCAAATCAGAGAGCTGGCAAGTCGTGGATCCGGGATCTCAGACATCCCAGAACTGGTGTTAATATCCCCTCTGTCTCTTACGGCTCTCTGTGCTTCCCGACGAAAGGTTTCTGCCTCTCCCTTGTGGCAGAAACCATTCGCCCTGGAAATCGGAGTCGGACTTTGTTCTCCAACCCCAGTGCACTTAACGCAGCGCCCGGAGTGAGAATGCGTCCTGCCGGTATGACACAGGTGGGGGCTGCTTTAGCCCGCTGCCCATGGATAACTGTGGACAGAAGCAACTAGATCCCAGGCTGCGCGCCGCAGGCTCTGTGAAGTCTGCGCGCGCGCCTGCACGAACTATCCCCTCTCCTGTCAACCTGAGTTTTCTGGGAAAGTGGCCTAGGCCAGTCTCCTGACAGCAGTTCCAAAGGGCCGCTACCCTCTCCCTAGCCTCCTTCCTCGTGAGGTTTAAATCCCAGCCCTCCCGCCGCGGTCCCGCCGGGCAAAGCTTCTCTCCTGCTCTAGCCTTTGCTCCCGAGCCCGGGCTCCGAATGCCACCGTCGCGGAGGGCGGTAGCCCCTTACCGTCACCGCGGGGCCCTCTCCGCAGGAACACGTGCCTCCTCCGACCGGTGCGCCGCCATCTTCCCGGAAGTGCCGGGGACTCGGCCCCTCTAGGCTGCCGAAACCATAGAGACCATCACGGGCCCGGAAGCCCGGGTCCTTGGGGCCTGGTGGGTATTGCTGAGGCTCCCTGGCGGGTATGGTTGCCATGGAAACTCGCGCGCGCCCGTTTCCGGAGGTTTGGGGGTGTTCTACTCGCCGCCAGTCTACAGCCCCGGAGCGGCCGAGGGACTTGTCCTAACTGGCCCCGAGAACGCCGAGAACAGCTTTGGCTGCGACGCTGAGCTAGTCCCGCCACAGACGTGGGGAAGGAGTCTCCCGAGAGCGCGCAGGGGTTGGGAGGGGGCCCCTCGGGAGTGGTTTCGGCGGGACCAGTGCTCAGCTTGCAGGAACAGGCGTTTGGAGGTTTGAGTAGGCTCATCAAACGCTGTGCCGGGACCTGCCTCTTTGGTGCTGATGATGCCCTGACTCGGGAGCCTCTGGCCTGGCCGGGGTCGTTGACACCGTGAGTGGGGCTGGAGGAGGTGGGGGTGGGGCCCCGAGCGAGACGCCGGGCCCCGGGGTCCCGGAATGCGCGCCAAGCTGGGGACTTTGCACTTGCAAGGTGGCTCCACTGAGCAAACTGTGCAGTTAGCTGCACTTGGCTAACAAGTTAGCAGGAGAAGTTGCACATGCCCCCAGCCACACCCACTATGCCTGGGCCTCGCCAAGCCCCCCGCAGAACTAAAACCTGAAAAAATCCGCCCATCGGCCTCCCTATATCAGTATTTACGGGAAGTTAAGGGTGCACCTGCTCCAGAAACTGGAAGAGAAAAACCGGCATCTCCCGGTAAGGTTTGTCACAATTGCTCACTTTGTCACACTCCTCTTCATCACATTTTCTCCGTAAAATTAACTTTACTTTTAAAATATGCTAAATGTGGTGCGGAGGGAGGAGGGGGGCGCCTGGGTGGCTCAGTCGGTTAAACGTTGAACTCTTGGTTTCAGCTCAGGTCATGATGTCACGGTTAGTGAGTTCGAGCCCCACGTTGGGCTCTGCACTGACAGCGCAGAGCCTGCTTGGGATTCTCTGTCTCCCCCTCTCTCTGCCTCTCCCTCTCTCTCTCAAAAATAAATACACATTTTTTTTTTTTTTTTTTTTTTTTTTTTTTTTTTTTTTTTTTAAACATGCTACATGGAGGGACGCCTGGGTGGCTCAGTCAGTTACGCCTCTGACTTCGGCTCAGGTCATGATCTCAGGGTTGGTGGGTTCGAGCTCCGCATCCGGCTTTGTGCTGACAGCTCGGAGCCTGGAGCCTGCTTCCGAGTCTGTGTCTCCTTCTCTCTGCCCCTTCCCCGTTAGCGCTCTGTCTCCTTCTCTCTCAAAAATAAATAAACATTTTAAAAAATGCTACATGGGAACACTAGTTTAAACAATGGCGCTCGGTTAATGGAATTCTAGATGCTTGCCTAGTGCGCGCTCGGTTAATGGAATTCTAGATGCTTGCCTAGTGCATTCTTCGTGATTGCTACAAAGATGCTCCTCAGACACTGGATTCAGTTTTGGAATCTTCTGTGAATGGGAGTCACTTCTGAGTCCTTTTCTCTGCCACTAACTGTGGGACCTTGAACAAGTCACTTCTGCTCAAGAGCACCCTTTCCCTGTCTGGAAAATTAGAATGTTGGACTAGTTAAATCATCTTTACAGACTTGGTTTTTTTGTGGTCTCTCGGGGGCCACTGAGGGAATCCCCAGACCGGGCTTCAGTTTCCACCACCTCCCTCTCCATTTCTTCTCTCTCCTCTCCCTATCCAATGTCTTACATCATATTGTGGTGATAAAAGAGGTTTGAAAACTCCGGAATGAGGGAACCGCAGGGGCCCTTCCCAGCTCACAATACTCTGTGGGTCACTCTAAAACCCGAGTGTCCCTAATTCCCTGACCCAGGGCCCCTATTCTGGTCTAAGGCCTTGAGCTCTGTGTTCTGCCTGACTCATTTATTCAATAAACACTTATTAAGGGTCTTCTTTTTTTTTTTTTTTTTTTTAATATTTTTAAACATATTTTTTAGTTTATTTATTTTGAGAGAGAGAAAGCATGGGAGGGGCAGAAAAAGAGAGAGAGAGAGAATCCCAAGCAGGCTCCACGCTGTCAGCACAGACCACGATGCGGGGCTCAAACTCACTAACTGTGAGATCATGACCTGAGCCAAAAGCAAGTCAGACCTTCAACTGATGGAGGCTACCCAGGTGCCCCCATTAAGGGCTTTCTATAGACCAAGGGCTGGAGGTATAAAAGTGCTCTCTCTTGTTGGCCCTCACAGTCTTGTTGAGATACAACAAGTTGCCAAGCATTTATATCACAGGAATAAGAGCTCTGGTGAGGTTAGGACACAGTACTGGGGTGGGGGTGGGGAGTAAGATGGCTGCACCTGCCCGTGTTCGGGGGCCCCCGGGCGAAGCTTTCTGAAGGAGCCTCCCTTGAAGGTGCAGGCCTGGCCCTGGGGACGGTGTGGGATTGCAAGGGAAGTGGGCCTCAAGGAGTTCCAAGTGACGTGGAGTCTCACACCTCCTCACAAGAGTAGAAACAAAGGCTGTTAGAACAAGAATACGCGAGTACTTAGAAGGAGGTAATCTGACTTGCAGACATAGCATGGTACATAGAAATACTTATTACAGTAATATCTAAAAATGGAAAAATTGTAAAGAACCTAAGTAGCCCACAACAGAATGGCCAAATAAGTTAGTGTGACCACACGGTGGGCTAACATGCAGCCTTAAAATATGATGTTGAAGAAGGATTCTTAATAACTTGGGGGAAATGTCTATGATGTAATTGAATTGAAAAGAGCAGATACAAGATGGCGCCCATAGGAAGGGCTCATCCTTGTTAAACATCCATAGGTAAGGGCTCATTCTTGTTGTTGTTTTTAACATAATTTATTGTCAAATTGGTTTCCATACAACACCCAGTGCTCATCCCAACAGGTGCCCTCCTCCATGCCCATCACCCACTTTCCCCTCCTCCCCCACCCCCCATCAACCCTCAGTTTGGTCTTAGTATCCAAGAGTCTCTTATGGTTTGCCTCCCTCCCTCTCTGTAACTTTTTTCCCCCTTCCCCTCCCCCATGGTCTTCTGTTACGTTTCCCAGGATCCACATAGGTTTTCACTCATATGTGGATCTTGAGAAACTTAACAGAAGGGCTCATTCTTGTTAAGCATCCATAGTAAGGGCTCATC